TGGTGGCTCAAAGAGATGTACTTTAAAATGTCTGATAGATATTTCCATACTACCTTTTTGAAAATGTTCAGTAATTTACTTTCCTACCATGAAAGTACCATTTCCATGCACATTCTCCAACACTGGATATTTTCAAGTTTTAACACTTTTGCTAATAAGATGGGTAAAGTGATGGTATCTGGTTTGTAAATTATATTTTGAGGATTCTTTCCTCAAATGATCCAATTAAATGATCCAAGTCCATTTCAATCAGTGTAGAAAAGGATGGATTCTCCAATAAATAATGTTGGGATAGTTGCCTCTTCATTTGAAAAGTTGCAATTGAATAATAAAAGTAAAATCCAGGTATATTAAAGATTAAATATGTTTTTAAAAACAACAAGGGTTGATAAATACCATATGATTGCTTTTAAGTCTCATAAATAAGGCTTTTTTCTAGCATGACATAAATGTAGAAGTCATCAAAGAAATGACAATTTTGAGCATATAAAATATGTTATGAAAAATATTAACAAGTAAAAGGTTACTCTTTTTACGTGTATAACTGATAAAGTGTTTATATATTCAAAGAACTCCAGCAAATCAAATAAGAAAGAGGCAAAGATAGGAAGAAACATAAATGACTGTACATAATATGTAAATATTTTCTACCTCACTTTTTATCTAAAAAATTAAAGTTAAAATAATACTGAATGCCTGGTTAATTTTATGTGTCAACTTGTTTGAGCCATGGTGTCCAAATATTTGGTCAAATATTTACTCTAGATGTTTCTGTGAGGATGTTTTTGGATGAAATTTACACTTGAATTTGTAGACTTTGAGTGCAGATTTCCCTCCATAATGTGGGTGGATCTCTTCCAATCAGTTAAAACCTGAATAGCACAAAAGCCTGACATCCCTGAGCAAGAGGGAACTCCTCCCCAGCAGACTGTTTTCAGACTTTTTCTGCAACAGGGGCTCTTCTGAGTTTGTCAGCAGACTGCCTTTGAACTTAACTACAATACTTTCAAGTCTTGAGCCTGCTGGCCTCCTTCATCAGATTTTGGACTCATCAAACCACCACAATCATGTAAGCCAATTCCTTACACAAGTCTTTCTTCTTCTTTTGTAATCCTCACCTGAGGACATGCTTATTGATTTTAGAGAGAGGGAAGGGGAGGGAGAAAGAGGAGAGAAACATCAGGTATGAGAAGAGAGAAACATCAACTGGCTGCCTTTTGTACATGGCCTGACCAGGGACAGAAACTGCAACCCAGGCATGTGCCCTTAACCAGGAATCAAAATCTGTGACTTTTTGGTTTGTGGGATGATGTTCAACCAACTGAGCCACACAGTCCAGGGCACAAGTCTATTTCAATGTATATACACATCTCATTGGTTCTGTTTTTCTGGAGGACCCCGACTAATACACTGAGATCCTAAATTTTAAATATAAACATTTTTAAAAAACTGGAATATATTTTCCCTTGTTGGCAGGGTTATAGGGCTTCTTACAGGCTGTTAGAAGTGAGATGGTTGATTAAGTTGAGGAAAGTAATTTGTCAGTATCTATAAAAAAGTCACCTGTATGTGCCATTTAATACAGCAGTACCACTTTTAGGACATGTGCAAGTGCACAAGCATTTATATAAAAAGGTGCTTCTGTAGCATGTTTTGTAATAGTGGAAAATCAAGGATACTTTTTATTATTCAATCATTTGTTTATCAAATGTGAAATGCGTACTCTATTATATGTACTGTTTGAAGCATCTGGGTAGACAGCAATGAATAAAACAGAGATGGTGACTACTTCAAGAGCTTCCCAGTCTAGAGGGAGGAATCACATACTAAACAAATGAACAAATATGTAAATTGAAATGTCATAGCACAATGTAAAATAATACCTTTGGAGAAATTTTCTCTAAAGAGTGACGTTTGAAGAGGTGATCACTTCATAAGTTATATAAATGTCTAATCACTATGGCGCACTTCTGAAACTAAAATATAAAATTTAAAATATAAAATATAAAATATATATAGTTTAAAGTGACATTGGAGAGAAAAGCCGAAAGAAGTGGATGGGCCAGCCAGTTAAAGTGTGGAGGAAACAGTGCATGCAGAGGCTGAGAGCTTGAGGCCAGGCCAGCAGAGTGGTGTCAGTGGAGGTGGCGTGGCCCCAGAGGATCTTGGAGATAGAGGTAGGGCCAGACGGCACAGGGCCTGATAGGCCATGAAGAGAGATAGGAATAAGATGCTATAAAATGTTTTACTCAGGGAAACAACATTATCCAAGTTATGTTCTTCAAGGCTTCCTCTGGCTGTGGGGTAAATTAATGAGGGTGAGGGCAAGAAGAAAAGCCAGGTTTTGCAATAGTTCAGGTGAAAAATAATGGTGTTGTGGAGTTGGAGATAAACTCCATATAAGATATGCTGGAGATGGAAAAAATAGGACTTGATGGTGAGTTGAATGTGGATAGTAAGGAGAAGGCATCAGGAATGGCTTCCAGACCATTATACACCTATCAGAATGGCTAAAATAAAAATACTAATAGCATCAAGTGCTGAGGACAGTGTGGAGCAATCAAACCTCTTGTATATTGCTGGAAGGAACACAGAATGATACAACCACTATGGCAAACAGTGATTTTAAAGAGTTAAACATACAATTACCATATGACTCAGCCATCTACCTTCTGAATACTTAACCTAGAGAAATTAAAAGTTATATCCATACAAAAACTTGCGCATGAATGTTTAGAGCAGCTCTATTAATAATTGCCCTAAACTGAAACAACCCAAATGTCCTTCACTGGGCATATAGGTAAACAAATTGTGGTCCAGTCATACAAAGGAACAAACTGCTCAGCAATAAAAGGGAACAAACTACGACACAATAACTAGGATGAATTTTAAAGACATCATGCTGAGTGAAAGAAGCCAGTCTCAAAATGTTAAAGACTGTATGATTCCATTTATGTGACATTTTTGAAAAGTTAAAACTGTCTTGATAGCAGATCTGTGGTTGTCAGTGGTTAGGGGTGAGGGGCAGATGTGACAATAAAGGCTTTTCATCTTCATTGTGGTGGTAGTTACAGGAATCTTTGTGTGTTGAGATTCACAGACTTATACGCATGAAAAAGTTCCTTTTTATTGTGTGATCATTTTAAAAATAAAGAAAGAATTAAATCTTAAAAAAAAAGATGCCTGGGTTTCTGGCCTGGACAAGTAGGCAGATGGGGTTGCCATTTACAGAGGTGGACTAGGCAGCTAAGTGGGATCAGCTTTGTGGGGGAAAGTGAAGAGCATGGTTCAAACTTGTGAAGACAAGACGATGTCCTGTGCACAGCTGGGTGCACAAGAGTCTGCAGCTGGACATGGGTTCTTAGAAGTCATTGGTGATCAAAGCTACTCTAATGGGTTGGAACACCTGGGGGTAGGGTGTAGAACAAGAGCAAAGGGGGAGAGCCTTCTGGAACAATGCCTCCAGAACATGAGGGCTGAAGGAGGGGTCACAGTGGAGATGGAGGGAACAGATCTTGCTTCAATCACTTAGTGGCTATAGGCTCTCAGGTAAGAGACTTCACTTCTTTGGGCCCATTCCCTTATCTGTAAAATATAAATATTACCTGCCACATGGTGATTGAGAAGGTTAGAGAAGATAACATGACAGCTATCGTTATTCCTTCAACCCAGATCTTCTCCCAGCATCCAGGTATCTTATCACTTAGCCCTTTCCCTTCAGAGTCTTGGTGTTTTATCCTTCCATCCACCAATTCCACCTGACCCACATATACCATAAGAAAGGAGTCCCCATCAGACTGTCAGCTGATTTCTCAAAAGAGACCTTACAGGCAAGAAGGGGCTGGAAAGAGGTATTCCAAGTCATGAAATCCAAAGACCTACAACCAAGATTGCTCTATACAGCAAAACTTTCATTTAGAATGGAAGGACAGATAAAGTGCTTCTCAGATAAGATCAAATTCAAGGAGTTCATCAGCACCAAGACCTTATTATATGAAATGTTAAAGGGACTTATCTAAGAAAAAGAAGTTAAAAAAACATGAACAGTGAAAAGACAACACTCACAGTTATTAACAACCACACCTAAAACAAAAGCAAAGTAAAAGGACAGCTAGATCAGGAGTGGAAACATAGAAATGAAGATCTCAAGGAGGGTTAGCAATAGGGGAGTGGGAGGAAGAGAAAGGGGGAGAAGGTACAGAAAATAAGTAGCATAAACAGTAGATAGAAAATAGATGGGGGGGCAAGAATAGTATGGGAAATATAGAATCTAAAGAACTTGAGACACATGATCATAAACTAAAGGGGGGTAATGGTGGGGATGGGGGGTAGAGTGGAGGAGAATGAAGGGGGGAATAGAACAACTGTAACAGCATAATCAATAAAAAAAATAAATTAAAAAAGAAAACAGAATAAGGAAAGACAATGCTTGCTATCAAATTTATTTAGGTAATTTTTGTTCAACATTTTTCATAAATGTCTTCAAAAATATGAATTTATTGAACAATGGAAACTTTCTGCAAAAGTCCACATGAGAGCAGGATGCTCCTTCGTACCTGGAGTCCTGTGTCCTGCACTGCTGGCCTGCCATACCAGCAGTTATGAAGGGTAGACTCTTCTTTCCTGTCCCAAGTCACTGGCGGGTCCCTCAGATCCTGGACTCTGCTCTCACCCCCTCTTTAACACTCAGAAAAGTGCAGAAGCTAGCCTGCTGCCATGGGAAGCTCATTTTTCCCCAGGGCACTCTCTCACCTTGACTAATTCTCAGGACACAGTCCACAGCTGGTGGGGAAATGAGAAGGGAGGGCAGTGTGGTGAGATCGAGAGCTGGGCTTTGGTGAGCTCAGCCTTAGGAAGCCTGGGTGCCTGCTCTGCCTGGCTGCACCAGTCCCCGGATGGCCACTGCCAGGTCCGGCTTGACTTGAGCTAGGAACTGTCCTGTGGATGAGATGTCTTTTAGTCCAGGCCTCTTGGCCACCCACCCACAGGCCTCCCAGTATTCAGTACCTATTCTCTACTTTGGACAGCTCCTGAAGTTGCCCCTGTCCTTCATTCTTCATCAGTTTCAAGCTGCTCTCCTGCCTAGGAAGGCTCCAGGCCCCAGGCAGCCTCCCCAGCAGCCTCTGAAACTCAGCTTGAAACCCAGATGATGAGAAGTAGTAGACCAGGGGGTCAACACAGGGATTCAGGGTGCTGAGGAGCAGCACGTAACTTCTCCACCCTGGGCTTTCACCCTGGAGGTAGCCCACACATGGAACACATTGTAGGACCCAAAGCAGATGAGGAAGTTAAGCAGCATGGCTGCCACGAGTCCCACCATCCTCTTCTGCAGGTGATGGCTGGCTCCGCTACTAAGCGTGCACAACAGGCAGCTGTAGCAGTAGCTGGTGATGAACAGGGGCATCTCCAAAAGGACCACAGCCATCTCCGGCCAGACAGGCAGGAGGATGGCCAGCTGATCCTCCTGGAATTGCAGGTAACAAGTGCCATTGACACCCTGGTTGTGGGAGGAGTTCCCTGAGAATTCAGTGACATAGGCCACACTGCAGTGCGCACCAGCCAGGAGCCAGCAGGCCGCGCTGACCAGGCCAGCCTGGAGAAGCCTGGGCTGAGTCTTGTACCACAGTGGCTAGGCCACACTCAGGAAGCGCTCGATGCTCACAGCTTCCAGGAAGAGGGAGGTGAGATAGATGGTGGTGAAAAAGAGGAATCTGGAGAAGGGGCAGAAGATGAAGGGCAGGGGCCAGCACATGCCCCTGGCCTCTGCCACCATTTTGAAGGGCAGTTAGAGCAGCAGGAGCAGGTCTGACAGGGTCAGGTTCAGCAAGAGCATGTCCGTGGCCACTGGGCGGCGCTGCAGCTTGCCCACGAAGATCACCAGAGCCACCAGGCTGACAGGGAGCCCCACGAGGAAGGTGAAGAGGTACATGGACAAGTACAGCCAGTGATTGCCAGGGAAGAAGGACTGGTCCAGGCTTGTGTCCATGGTGATGGCTACTAGAGAGAGACAGAGACAGAGACAGAGAGATGGCAGTGTGGGTGGAGATGTTGCACCAGCAGCACCTCAACAATCCATAGGGAACATTGTTACCACCCCCACTTCCTCTTGCTCCCTAGTGCTTTCCCCAGTGGGGTCGACCTGCCTGTCTCCTATTCCTGGCACCAGTAAAGTCAGTAAGTACCAAGCCTTTTTCCATATAACCACTCAGGGCCCAGAACTCACCTGCTTGTTTGACAACCCAAGTATTTTGCTGCTTAGCACCTTGAGGGCTCCTCCAGAACAAGGGCAGTTAGTTGTTAATCTGACAGAACTGATAAAGACCTGTCACCCACTGCTGAGAGATGGCACAAAAGATGCTTAGCTCTGTTAGCAGAGCTGCACAGTATGCAGAATGAACAGCAAATTCCACACCTGTAGGCCTGGCTGCTAGGGCAGCCTCTGATGGAATGTCCTAACCAAGCCCCAGCAGACTTCATCTTTCCCTCACTTATTCTCCACTTGCATTGTATCTGCTCCTCTAGATGGCGCTCATCCTGCTTGTCTTATAAGGGCAGGAAGCACAATGCAGTTGACGGAGCATGTGGGCTTTGCCGCTGGGGCCTGGGTTCAATGTCAGCTCTGTCATTTAGTAACTCTGATGCGTAGCAAGTGACTTAAACACTCTGAATCTCTGCTTTTTTCATCTGAAAGATGAATAATCATAGTACCAATCTCATATGTCATGGTGTGAATTAAAGGGTTAATACATGTCAAATGCTTAGAAAGGAGCCTGACATGCTACGAGGAGAACTTGACAGACATTAGCTGCCATCACCCCCTGGTGTGAGCTGGCCTCTGGGGTGATGGTAATAATAATATTAATGATGATGGTGGTGATGATGAGAGCAGTCACCTTTCAGGGGGCACATAATCCACAGCAGATACTCTGCTTGTCAGGGTACCACCCTTATGTCTTGAACTCCTGGTGCCTTACAGTGCGGAAGTGACTTGCTCCAGGCAACACAACTTGTTAAGTATTATTACCAGAATTCAGACCCAAGTTCTGTCCAGCTTCAGAGATTATTTATTTATTTATTTATTCATTCAAATATTTATGGAACACAATAAAATACCATTTTACTCACATGCCACTGAAATGGTTATAAGCAAAAACATCAGATAATACCAAGTATTGGGGAGGATGTGAAGAAACGGGAATCTTCACATATTACTGGTGGGACTATGAAATGGTGGAGTTACTTTGGAAAGCAGTTTGACAGTTTCTTAAAAAGCTAAACATAAACTTACCATGTGACCCAATTCCCTTATAGGTAATCTTAGGAGAAAGGAAAACCTGTCCACACGAAGTCTTGCTCATAAGTGTTCAAAGAGCGTCAGTCATAATAGCCAAAAAATGGAAACATCACTTGGTGGTCCATCAGCTAGCAAATAGATGAACCAGGTGGCATAGCCACACAGTGAAGCACTATCCAGCAATAAAAAGGAATGAAATACCCATGTGTACTATAATGTGGGTGAACCTCAAAGACATTATGCTAAGTGAAACAAGCCAGACATAAAAGATCATGTATTATATGTTTTCATTTATATAAAATGTCCAGGATAGACAAATTTATAGAGACAGTGAGTAGGTTACTGGTTTCCTGAGGAATGGGGCTGGAAATGGGATGTTCTATAAATGAGCAAGAGGGATCTTACTAGGGTGATGAAAATATTTTAAATTGGATTATAATGATAGTTGCACACCTTGGTAAATTTCTAAAAATCACTGGATTTTACACTCCAAATGGGTGAATTTTATGATTTAAAGTTTTTATCTCAAGTAAGCTATTAAAAGTACAACAGTGAACAAATCACAGTTTTTGCTGTCATGGTGCTTACAGTTGGTAATCAGGGCTTGGGGATGGAGGTTGAGAGGGAGGATAATACAGATGTCACTGGAGGAAACATTGCAGGCAGAAGGAATGCTGGGTGCATAGGCTTGACCTGCTGGGGCAACTGGTAGAAGGTTTAGGGCTCAAGCAGCAAGGGTCAGGAGAGGATGCCAGGGGTGGGTCATGCCAGGAGGCCCCATTGACCCCAGGGAGGAATGGAAATCTCCTCTAAGAGGAGGAGGCACAAGTAACTGGAAGAAGTGGCCCAGCAGCAGTGGTGGGAGCAGTGGGAGAAAGAGTCATCCCTGGCATTATTGGGAGGGGCAGTGGGGCCACCGAGCTTTTGTTGAAATTCTCTGGTGTCACCACTGTTCAGTGAACAAATTTGTTTCTGCCTCCCACAGAGCCTCTGGCAAATGACTTAATTTCTCTGGCCTGTTTCCGTATTTATAAAACAAACAATAAAGGAAGGCTATCGTGAGCATTTATTCATTCAACAAACATTTGCTGACAGCCTACGATATGCTAGGCTCTCCTCTAGGTGCTGGAAATATACCAGTGAATAAAACAAAATTCCTCACCCTTTGTAGACCTTTACACATGAAAAGAGACAACTTTTATAAACCAGGTCACACACGTTGGGCACGCAGCTCCCACTGTTGGTGCTCCTGTGTATTCCAGGAATTATTGTCACTAGAGGCACAATCCTGCTTCCTGTACCTGCCTCATCAGAGCGGATGCCCAGATGTCTGTCTCCTTTATGGCCACTGCCCTCTGTCTGCTTTCTCCTGCCACAATTCATCTTTCAAAATGGACCCCAAAGAGAAACATTACCCCAGTAGTCCAAGTTTTCTAAATGTCGCCTGACCCTTGGGGGTGCTGTCTTGAAGGATCACATCCCACATCTACCTGTTCCTTGCTGTGGGGCCTTGGGCAAATTTCCTCACCTTGCAAAATGAAGATGATAATGGCTTCAGATCTGTAGCTAACACATGCAGCACCTTTGTGCAAATTAGGAAAAGGTACCACCCGCCCCCAGGTGAGCACAGCCCTGCTGTTTATCAAGGTGTACTGTTTGAGGAGTGGGTGGTATTTTTGTTCAGATTAGAATCAGATGCTGCTGCTTCTGGATGGAGGCCAACCTGAGCCAGGCACATAGCTTGGTGAGCAAAGTACAGGCTAGAATTTAGTCAGTGTTTGCTCCTCTGTCTGGCACCCTCATGCAGTGAATATCTGTGCACCTACACAGCAACTGCATGGCTAAATCAAAGAGTTGTGTGAGGATGACATGAAACTTGTAGAGCATTTGGCATGATGACTGTCATGTGTTAGTGACTGTATGTTTGTAACTATTTCTGGTGTTGCTAATATTTTTGCTCATCTGGTGGAAGCATCCCTTCCAACTTTCTGTTCACAGTTTCAATGCTGCCCTCTTGTGAGTTCCTAATAGTATCATAGTGTCATTATTTTGCCTCCTGCCTCCTCTCTCATTCAGAAATTTTGTTCTTTCCTAGGAGAAGATTTTGGAGTAGCATCTCCCAAAGTGTATCATCAGAGTGGCAGTTCCTCTAGATTAGAAGCAAACTTCTTTCCTCCTTCCCCACTAGTTAAAGACCTCTGCCCATAGCACACTGGCAGACAGGAAAGTAAGGACTAAGGAGAGGAAAGACAGATGTGGGGAGTCAGGCCGTTGTGCGAGGAGGTAAACTTACCTTTCTCCTGTGACCCAGCTCCTGAGCTCCATTCTCTCCCATGGGATGCAGTCTTTCCAGGCTCAGTTCTTCCCATAAGTGGCTCCAGGGGTGCCCCCAGGCAAGGCCACCCTGCAGTTCCTTTGGGGCAGCCCCTACCAGGGCCCTAAAGAAGCAGCTGGGGTCTGCTGCATATTCTTTCTCCCCACCAGGGGCTACTGCTTCTGGGCTGTACTCCCTTTCATTCTTGCCACATGTGATGTCCCAGGGCCAAAACCACCTCCCAAGTAGCCTGTCACCAGTGGGTTGAGCACCACACTCCAAGCACCTGTGAGGAGCCCTAACTTCCGCCAGCAGCCTCCCATGTCGGGGTATAGGAAGCCAGCCACATTGGAGGCATTGTAGGGTCCCAAGCAGAGCAGCAGTGTGAGCAGAGCCCCACCAGCCACCCAGGCCGCTCTTAGTTTCCGTCTGTGGCTCAGGCCTGAGCCGGCCAGTGCCCGAAGGCAGCCCACATAACAGAAGGCTGTGATAGCCAGAGGCAGGAAGAAGAGCAGGAGAGAGAGGCTGAGACGAGCAGGGCCTGCTGAGGCTGGGTCCCAGGCTTCCAGGCAGACTGGAGAGCCATTGATTGGTGTGTTGATGCCCAGGGAGCTGGTGGTATTGTCCATCCAGCCTCCCAGAGCCTCCAATCCAAAGACCAGCCCCAGGTGACAGAGGACAAGGGCCCATATGGCCACACACACACCCCAGGAATAGCAGGGCCTCCGGGCAGCTTGGTAACCCAAGGGGAACGCAGCTCCTAGGTAGCGGCCAACACTCAGGGCAGCCAGGAAGCCACCACCTGCATAGAGTGGAGCAAAGTGGGCCAGGGCAAAGGCTGGACAGAGTGCAGCCGGGAGAGTCCAGGCTCCTGCAGCCAGTGCCTCCACTGCCTTCAGGGGAAGGGAGGCCGCCAGCAGGAGGTCTGAGCAACCCAGATGGAGGGCATAGACAATGCTGGGGGTGAGGCGGAGTCGGGCATGGGCCACAGCACCCCTGATGGCCAGGGTGTTGAGCAGGAAGCCCAGCCCAAATGCAGCCACATAGAGGGCAAAGGAGACCTGCGGGGGCAGGTCCATGGGTCACAGTGGCCTAATGGGTTCCTGTGCTCACTTGCTTCCTGCCCTCAGATCTCAGGCCTGAGGAGGGGCACTCTTGGAATCACAAACTGGTTTCAGCACTACTCAGGGTATTAGAAGCCATGTGGAGACAGAGGCCCACAGAGGGAGGTGGTAGCCAGTTAGCGGGGAAGCCTGGATTAGAAGTGAGGCTGCTAACCCTCAGTCCTCTGCCTTCTTTCCACTGTATCACCTCTTAAAATGAAGGGTGTGATAGAGGATTGACAGAAGATAGAACAAAAGCCTACTGGTACCAGAAGAGCAAAGGCTGCTTGACTTCAGAGACTCTGGGGAGAGAAGGGGTAAAGAGAATTCATAACAGAGTTGGGCTCCACAGTATGTGCTTTTCTTAGACATGTAAGTTAGAGTTCTGCTTTCACCCCCTCCCCCCAATTCTCTGGAAAGAGAAGGAGCTGCTCCCCTACAGTGGACCACCTGTCCTTCGGTGGAGGGTTGGTGGCAACTCCTAGCCAAGGGAAGAAGTTGGGGTTTGGGTAGAGTGGAGGTTGCAGCAAAGGGCAGGTATAGGCAGTCCTCAGGAGAGAACCCAAGAGGATGACCTCAGCTGACTTTAGAGGTACCATAAGCAGGGGGATCTGGGAGTGTGAGAAATAATTGTTGGTATAGAGAAGAGCTACAGAAAGAAAGACTCACCTCTTGGTGCTGCCGGATATCTCTGAGGCTCAGGAGTCCCTCTCTGGGCTGAGGGAGGGTGACTGGGATACTTAGTGAGCCGGAAGGGAAAGAAGGGTGGGGTGACAGGTCCATTAGCCCAAGGCACTAGAAGCCTGGGTGAGCAGCTAATGGGGCATCTCCTGCTGGAGCTGAGGCCAGATGGGAAGAGATAAGGGTCCAGGATGATGTGAACATAGGAAGGGGAGATGGCAGAAATGGGGGCTTTTCCTGGGTAGAGTACAGAGTGCAGAGCCAGCACCTTGGAGGAGCAGGATTGGTGACATACAACCAGAACACAGCTTTATTCCCCCACTTCAAACCTGCCCTGGGGCAAAGTTTTCTCTAGTCCTGGATGAGCTCCTGGGCTGGCTTCTGGTCACTTCAGTCACCTACACTATCTCCATTTGGTCATTCGTATGTGGGATAATATGTGGGATCATATGTGGTCATTCTTATGTGAAATAACTATTCCTAAGTACGACCTGTGGCCTCATCCCCTGACGTGCACAGGTGTGGGCATGTGTTATCAGGAGAGTACTCCTCCACTCTCCCTCTCCTTTCCCCTCTGGATTGATGACCCCAGTCTCTGACTCTTCCAGTATAAGCAGAAGGTGGAGGAGGAGAGATAAGGGACCAGCAAGGTCTCATTTGGTAGCACTAGACTAATCTGGTTGTCTGCTTAGCTTTCCTCTCTCAGCCTCTGGGAATTCAACCATTTACTTCCTTTTGGGATCACCTTGTCCTTTGGGGAAGACCTCCTCTGTGATATTTAAAATGGCCAGAGGCTGTCTCTGTTGTTCTCAGTCTCTATCTCTGACTGTATGTTGTCTCCCTATCTATCTCCATCTCTATCTGCTGCCTCAGACTGACAACACATCCTCTTGACTTCAGTTTTCTTGGGTGTGAGTGAGGGTCACCAAGCTACTGTGCCCCTCCACACCCCAAGTCACCCTAAATAAGTAAATGAGCTTCTCTGAGTGGTTTTCTGGGGGTGCTTCTCACCAGGGTTCAGGTGGGGACAGCATATCAACAACTTCCTCTAAAGAAACAATCTGTTTTCTTTTTCTACTTTAGTCACTAAATTAATTCCTGGTCACCTCCCTTCCAAGCACCATGGATGTTATTGAGCCCATCTCTTGAAATGCAGAACTTTCCACCTGTTGTTTAGGATTTTCTTTTTGGAAAACACTGAGAAACTGACAGAACTAAGGGAAAAATCAAAAGCAGTGCCATTTCACCTCCTGTAACAAGTGTTTGGGAGAAGAGCAAAGCTGGGTGTAAAGCAAGACATCAAATCTTTGAAATCTCTGCTCCAGGCTCACCCACCTGGTGGTTCAGATCTCGGGCCAGTGCCACCTCCTCAGAGGGCCTTCCTTGATCCCTCCATCCAAACAGGACCCTGCCCTGCTCCAGTCCCTCTGTATTCATCGTGTGTTCTGTTTATTCAGAGCACTCACCGCTAGAGACATCAGATTTACTAGCTCCTGTGCTAGAATGTTGGTCAGTGAGAGCCAAGATTTCTGTCTGCTTTGTCCATGGCTTGTTGCATACCTAGTGATGACTCGGGGAGCTGAATAGTCATTTGTCCTGGTCCAAGGTGGTGAGATCTGGGCTTGGGTAGAGGGATGCCCGTGGTCTACAGTCTCTGAACCTCTGAGCTTCCTGGCCACCTGCTATGCACACCTCAGCTGTGCCTATGGGTGGCTACATCTCTTGGTCAATTGATCATGAAGTAGATTTACGTCAGCAGCAAGGCTCAGAGACAAGATGGAAAGGTACTCCCTGGTTGCCAGGAATCCAGAGCCAAGCCTCATCAGGCTCAGGTCTGACTCCAGCCTCTTCAAGGGGACCCTGCCCTAAAACCCTTCAATTATCCCAGAGATCCCCAAATTAGGGCGATGTCATATCTTTTTGTTTTGAGATTTATTTTTAGAGATAGGGAAGGGAGGGAGAAAGAGAGGGAGAGATATATCAATATAAGAAACATCAATTGGTTGCTTCTTGTAAGTGCCCCAGCCAGGGACCAAACCTGCAACCCAGGCATGTGTCTGGGATCAAACCAGCGACCTTTCACTTTGCAGAATGACACCAAACCACCTGAGCCACACTGGTCAGGGCTGTCATATCTTTTTTGTACCCTAATAACTGGTTCTGTGCTGGAGGTATTGTCATATGTTCAGGAAATGTCTGCCAAATGAATGATTGAACGACACTGGACCTCATTTTCAATACGGACCCCCCCAACCCTATCCTTCTCATTTAAACAGTTCTTGGAGTCTTCTCTTGCTCCAGAAAAACTGGTGGTGCTCACAGGAAATCAAACTGTGGACAAAGTGGACTGATAAGAAATCAGTGCCTTGCCTTGCATAACTCCAAGGATGGCCAGAACCTTCTCTTCCTTTTGAGACCTTTTGGTATTGAGCAGATGGGAAAATGGAACAGGAGGGAAAGGTGGCACTTTTGAAGCACCTGCCATAGACAAGAGTTTTACACTCCTCTTCCTGCTGATTGATTAGCCACCTGTTCCGGACCCTAAGGAGAATGGGCTTTTCCCCATTGGCAGAAGCGGGAGAATGGGTGGGGAGAGGTCAACCTGAGAAATGAAGGGGAGCTGGAAGGACCTAAGTGGAAAATTGGAAGCAGTGACCATAACAATGAGCTGGCTGTGAAGGAGTGGTGACAGTGGAAGGGAGAAAAGCTATGAGGTTTCTCAAGGCAGCTGTGGATTGTAAAAGAACTTGGCAGGGATACTTTTGAGAACAGCTGAGTAATGAATTGGCTTGCCCTTTTTACTTTCTTCAAGAGATGCAGATAAGATGGGAATTTGGTTTGGGGAACTTTTGGCTGTCATGTAAGGCTTCTTATAATGAGACTCCAGCAATATAAGGTTATACATCATTTTCTTTCTTGAACTTGCACAATAGACGTCTCCATTTTACAGAGGAAGAAACTGAGGATCAGATAAGCTAGCGAACTTTGCCTACAATTTTGCTCAGCTAGTTAGGTAGAGGAGACAGGGTCAGACCCAGATCAAGTGCACTCTTTGCAACAAGATAACAGACTCTTCAGTCTGAGGACTTGATCATGAAATTACCTTGATTCCTATCCCTTCTCCCCGAGCCTCATTTGTGATGCCTTCCCCATGTCCCTGTCCTACTCTGATTCTACAGACTGGAAATAGTTTACCAATTCTTTGGAGTAATATCTGAGCCATTTTTATTGTGTAGCTCTGTGCTTATTACATGTTTGTCCACATTGGTGTATGTCTCAGACCACGAGACCCCTGAGGGTAGGACTGCAGCTCCATGGAATGCCTCCCTGACAAATAGAGGAGAAACCAGCACTGGGCAGTGCCTCTTTCTACCCCATTTCTGTTCTTTTCCCTGGACTTTGATCCATAGGCAGAAATCAGGCATAAGATTAGCAAGCAGGGCTATGAAAGTGGGGCAGGAGTCGAGTGTCAAGGGGATGGGGAGTAAAAGAAGAAAAACTAGTGACCAGCTGATCCTAGCAGGGATATAGCCAGTTGAGGGTGAGATTTAGGAGGGGGTAGGTGGTGGCAGATGGCTGGGAATGGGCAGGGGGATTTATACAGTGCAGGGTAGATGTTTAGATGAGTTCTTGGTGGGGAAGGGGAGTGAAAGAAAAAAAGGGACCTGCCCTTTTGGATGGATGGGATAACCAATGTTAAAAAGAAAGACTGCCTCTGGGCCATGCCCAGAATTCCCTGTACTAACTGGGAGTGCTCTAATCATGTGTCTGTGTAAGGGGAGGCTGTGTAACTTCTCAGCTGAGCAGTGGGGGTCAGCTGCATGGGCCATGACCACCCTGTCCTCTACAGTCTCTAGGCACCTCCACCTCAGGCAGTTTGACCCATTAGTGCTTGAGGGTCACGTATTCCACTCCTTCTTGACTCAGAGGCCGCTCACCAATTCCCAAATGAACCAGCTCTGAGTAATGTATCCCTTCGTCTTCTGGAACATCTGGAGTCACATTCTCATAGTCGCCCTGAAAAAGCCACGTCATGGTCAGCTCGGCTTCATGGTCCCCAGCCTCACACCATCTTCTTTCTCTGCCACTCTCTCCTTGACTCCACTAGGAGATCAAGTGCCCAGTCAGGGTACTCTTATCCAGAAACTGGCAGCCATTGGCATCTCAGATTGGGAGGTGCCTGCCCCCTGCCTGAGCAACCTCTCCACTGCCCAGCCTTTGGTGCCACTGAGTCCACCCAACTGGCCCCATCTTGGACTCACAGCTGAGGCCAGGTTCTCTACTCTCCTACTTCTCATAGCCCTGCCCTCTTACCACTTGATGCTTCTGCACCACAGAGTAAGTGACCGTGTTGTCCCTGTTTAAGGAAGTTCTCTGCATCTCAGAAGTTCCTGCCTCTCTGAAAGACAGGGCAGATAGATGATCACAAATGAAGCATTTCTCATGAACTCTCCTCCTTCTTTTAATTCCCCTAGACCCTAAGAGCAACCCAGCCTCTCAGCTCCTTATGTATATGCCTAATGCCCACAGTAGGAGCTAATGTGGCAAATGAGTGGGGGGGGGGATGTATATACCACAATCTTAATTTTGGTGATAGAGACTCATTCTGGACATAATTTCTGTTGGCTTGAAGGAACAGATCCAATTCCTGAGACCCATTACTTACTGAGGGAACAGATTGTAATGGAATGAGAAAATGGGTATATAGTGGTGCTTGGCATGAGCTTGGCATATAGATGGCAGGTGGGACATGGGCCTTTCCTCCCACAGCCCTCCCAGGTGCAGCTGTCACCCTTCTGGGGCCTTCCATACCCAATCCTCGGTGTGTCAGTCTCGGCAATGGGAAAGCGCAGAGTAGCATAGCTGATGGAATCTTCCATCACTGGGTTGTAGCAGCCCAGGGAGTTGGGGCCTTCGGAGAGCGGGGCTCTTCTAACCTGTGAGGGAGGCAAGTTTTCAGCTCTCACCGCTCCTTTCCCCACCATAGTTCCCTTCCCCTGGCTGCTGACAGCCCAGGCTTCTCCACAGTAGTTTTTATTCCCTAACTCCCACCCCCGCTCCGCCACTCCACTTTGTTTCTGTGCTTGACTTTCAGGTCTTCCCTGCACTTTATCTCTCTTCCATCCTACCTTTCTATTCCTCACAAAGAAGCTCTGTGCACTGGAGTTTTCCTGAAGCCCTTGTTGGCTCTGAATCCTCTTCCAGCTAAGAAATAAAGACCTGCTCATTGAGGATCAAGGGAATGGGGACAAGACCCTATGGAATGAGCAAGCTGGGGTCTACATGACTGAGTAACTGGAGTTACTCCCTGGAATTGGCTGAGGGAGAGAAGAGGAGAAGGGGGGAAAGGAGGAGGGGGAGGGAGAGGAGGGCAGTGTGAGGAGGTCACCTTCGATGAAGCTTGACTCCCAAGAGTGGCAGGAGGAGGATGGCCAGGAAGAGCCCCATTCCCAGGGCTACTTGCTTGCTGATGGTCTCTGGGCTATCTGATGAAGAAAGGAGGACCATCTGTTGATGACACTGTCTCAATCAGATACCAGACCACTCTGCCCTGGTATTCTCCTGGAGGGTATCCTTGACTTCTCTTTGTAGAGCTCTGTCCTTTTGCCTGAATGACTTCCACCAGTGGGGACAGGATGCAGACAGAGAGGGAGAAGCCAGTCCCTGCCCTTTGGACTTGCCTTTAGGAGGATAGCTCTTTTTCATGAGGAGCTCCTGCTTTGTGACAGGCAAGGGTATACACAGAGCATGTAACCCTCATAAATGCATACAACATCTTCAGAGGGCACTTTGGCCATACTATTAGAATTTCAAACCACTGTCTTTTGACCCAGCAATTTAGTGTAGGAATTTATCTTCCAACTATCTTTGTAGGGTTTCCCTGAGCAAGAGAGTATACACACCTTGAAGAGGGCACTGGGTAGTGAGTTAAGCAATATCCATACACCAGAATATAGCACAGCCCTCAGGGGGAAAAAGGTAGGTTTCCAGGGTGTCTGCAAAGTGGGAGACCCAGGGAACGTGTTTTTATACAATATAATACATTTCAAAGTCACACACTCAGGCTATTTTCCTTTAGTGTCCAACTTTGCAGGCAGTGACCCTCTAAATTTAAAACCACGGCACCAATCATTAAACTGAAAAAGTATAACAAATAAATTAATTCTTCCCTATTCTTCCAGACTTTTTATAAAACCTGTGTCTGCACTCTCCAAATGGTGTTAATACCTGGGAAAAAGAAAGTTCAGGACCAAGTATGAGCCCTGCCACCATCTGTGTAATGAAGGGTTATGTAGACACGGATGTACAGATACAAGTTGCACAAATAAAGAATTCTCCAAGGAGATGTAAACATCTTCCAACAGTGCAGGCTTAGAGGGAGGGGCAGAGTTCTTGGGGAGTAAGAAAGAAGAGGTGTCTGTATTTCTACTATTTGCTATTTTATGCTGTTTTCAACGTTTACCATGTACTAGTACAGTCTTTTAAAAAAAACACTTAAGTTTCAAACACATAGAACAAGGGTGATACAGAGTGACAGAGGGACGGACCCAGTCAGAACTCAGGGTGTCTGGAAGATGGAAACAGTCTGAGAGGGAATCCTCCTGGAGAGAGTCAGGAGGGGCAGGAAGGAGGGAAGGCTGGTGAGCTATTTGCAGCAGGGGTTGCCTTTGAGCACACAGGCTGGGCTGGCCTGGCAGAACAGGGAGGGATGCGCAGCCTTGGAGCAAAACCACAGGAGTGGTCAAAGACAGAGAAGAAGAGGAAAGGAGCCTTACAGTAGACAGTGAGGATTCTTGGGGGTGACTGGTCCATGCCCAGTCGGTTGGCCCCCTGGCACCAATAGGTGCCTGAGTGCTGGACCTTCACAGGATCCAATCTCAGCATCTGATCATCATGGTGAAGGTTTTGGTTATTCCAGTCGAACCAGGTGTATTGGGAGATGGGAGGGTTGGCATCACTCTCACACGTCAGGACTGCCTTTTTTCCCTCCATCACACTGTCTTTAGGGCTAATGGACACCTGTAGCCTCCTAGGTGCATCTGCAAGGAGAAGTGAAATCAGGATCCAAGTAGCCAGTTACCTGCCCTTCTCTGCTGTTAGCTTTCAGGTCCAGCTACTCACACAGCACTTGGAGCTTCCAGGCTTCAGATGTGCTCTGTCCTATGGAGTTGTTGACCAAGCAGTTGTAATTTCCAGCATCTTCTGGAGAGATGGAGTCAAAGCTCAGATCTCTTCCTTCCTTCAGAAATATTCCATTTTTCTTCCAGAAGAAGAGGACATCAGTGGGGTAACTACTTGAGAAGTTACATCGGAGGAGGACTTGGTGGCCAGAGTGAATCTCAGAATCAGGGCTAATCAGCAGGACCTTGACACCTCTGGGGGCATCTGGAGAGCAAGAGCCTCAGTCTGACCTCTTGGGTCCTATTCCCTCTTCCTGTCCCCAGGACTTCCTCTCCTCTTGGTGCTGAGGCCTGACTCTCATCCCATAATTCTCTGTGAGGATTCTGGGCAAAGCTCCAGTCTCCTCACCCTCAAAGCCCTGTATCCCACCTTGCCACATCCCAGATGCCCCTGCCTGGGTCACTCACACTGGACATGCAGGTTGACAGAGGGAGACCATGAACACCACTGGTTACAGGCTGCACAGGAGAATGGACTGGCATTCCAGGGAACTTTCTGAATCATCAGCACTCCAGGCATTATCTCTTTCCAGGAGCCTTGGGATTTCCATTCATATCTGATGACACTGGGGTTACTGGAAGTGTAGTTGCAAAACAGGGTCACACTGTCTCCTTCTCGAATTGGTGTGGGGTTTTGAATCACCATGGTTACCTCTTTGGGGGAATCTGGGAGAAAATGAGAGAAATGGGTGAGGAAAAGTCAGCTGTTCATAATACCTGTTCCTTTCTGCTTCCTCTATTCCTTCTGCCTATCCCCTGAACCCACACAGTTCCTAAATTAACCACAGGAAGACTCACGCTTCCGTCTTGTTCCCATGTGAGGACAGAAACCCTGCCCTTCCTATTTGGCCTGGTTGTGGTTAGAGGTAGGATGGTGCATTAGCTGGGAGCATGGCTCTGGCAGAGAACATGTGGCCCTGTTTGTTGTCTTTGCACGGGTCTGGGGCACACTGCGAGGTGGCTGCAACATGAGTGGTGGTGATTAATAATAATAATAATAATAATAATGTACAGCTCTGGAACCAGACTATTAGGCCCTGCCACTTGGAGCTGTGTGACTATGGCCTGCAAGACTCAGTTTATTCATCTTAGAATAAACTGAAGTCCTAAAAGTATCAAACCTCATGGAATTGTTGCCAGAACAAAAGAAGATGATGTCCTTAGAGCAGCGTAGGAAACACTCAATAAACATTACTGCTGCTGCTGCTGCGGCTGCTGCTATCATATATTGGCTTGTCTAGATGTTCCAGATTTGTGTGTTCCCATCAGCATATTTGGCCCAGACATTGATTTCCCAGGGTTCAAGGATAAAAACTATAGATTCTCTTTATCCTGAGCTTGACTCAGTGACAAGACTTACTGTGTTAAAAAGGGTCTGATGATAGAGAGGTAATGACACATATTGCCTCATTTCTCCTCAAAAACTTCAGGACCCCTTCTAGGACTCAGCCACTGCCTAGTGATGCCAAGCCTCTGTTTCCCTAATGGGACCCTAGTATCGTGCAGCTTATTCATTCAACAAACATCTATTAAGCACCTACCACCAGCCAGGCCTTATTATGGTGCAGAGAATACAACTGTGAACAGCAACAGAACACCCTTCCCAAGAAGATTACATGTCAGGAGACCCTGGCTTTTGTTTGCTGTTCATCCTAGGACCAAGGAATCCTCTGCACTCATTCGCCTTCCTCCTGTATCTCCTTCCACAGTTTCTCCCTCTAGAACCCACATGCTCTGTGTCTACTCACACTGGACATCCAACTCAGCTGCTTGGCCAGTTTCTCCTGTGCCAACACTGTTTTTTGCCAAGCAGGAATAATTTCCAGCATGCTCAAGGAAGACCTCTGGGATCTGGAAGGTCTTGTCTGTTCTCGATATTTCAATCTTATTGTGATACCAGGTATAATTTATTGGAGGAGGATAGGCCTGTGATATACAAGTCAGGCTTATTTTACTTCCTTCTTTAGCTGGTGAGACTGTGATCTGAACTGTGGAAGGTTCTGGAGCATCTGCAAAAAGGGGCAGAGGCAAGTGTGGGAGGTGAGCAGAGGCCATTCCTGCTGACCTCTCAAGGGCCTTGGTTCCACCCCCTAACTCCCTGCCCTTCCACAGCTCCCAGGAGGCTCACAGTGCACTTGGAGGGAAACTTCTAATTTTGTTGAGCCTATTTCATTCTGGGCCTCACAGTGATAGTTTCCAGTCATCTGCTTGGTCACTGAGGGCAGACTTAGCATGACTGTCTTCTGCTCCAAGTTCAGTGTCTGGTGCTCACTCAGAGGGTTTCCATCCTTGAGCCAGTACATAGCCTGGTACTGTGGGTTACTGCTGATGATCTGGCACTTCATGGTAACAGAATCCCTCTCTTTCACAATGGCTTCTCCAGGACTCGTCATGTTCACAGAATTCCCCTCTTTCACAATGGCTTCTCCATGAATGAATGTGATCTGCAATTTTGGGGAGTCTGGTGGAGCAGAGGGACAGTGGGGGAGGGGACAGAGAATTCTCAGAGGGTGTCAAGTGGTGAGAAGTTGCCTGGATTTTCTTCTGATAAAGCAGTGGCCTGCATGTAGCACATGAGGTGTGCAGCCACTCACTGTTACCCCCTGTCAGCATGGGCTGGCAACTGTCACCGCCTCCCACTCATTTCTGCTCTTCCCATCCTCCGTTTCCAAAGGTCCAGTCACCACCAGCAGCCAGCAGCATTCCTAACACTGCCAATTAGTCCTTGCCTCTCCTTAGCTCGAAACCATTCAATGGATTCCTCACTTAGAATAAAATTTAAAACCCTGAATGTTGCCCACAAGCTCAAGTGCCCTGGTTCCTCTCAACCACCCTGTCCTATACTAGGCCCCTAGACATGGTGCTGGGTGGGGTCTGTGGTCCCTTGCTTGTCACAGACACACCAAGTTCCTACTTCAAATCTTTGTCCTCACTCTTTTCTTCTTGGAATGTTCTCAAAATTATCTGCCTGCCTCAGTCCCTCCCTTCACTCAAGTCTCAGTTCAAATTCACCTGCCTCACAGAAGTCTCCATCTCTTACTCCCTCTTTCCAACCCCTGCTTTATTTTTTTCTTAATACAGTTAGCACTACATACTGTTATATTCTCTATTTCATTAATGATCTCTTTATTGCTTGTCTTTCCCATTACAGTGCTATCCCCACACGGGCAAGAATTTTGCTCACTGCTGTCTCCCCAGCAACCATAATACCTGACACCTAGTATGTTTGCAAAAAATATCTATTGAATGAATAAATGAGGCAAAAAATAATGATGTGAAAAAATTCCTTCCCTCTCTCTCTAAAAAAGAACAAGAAAATCTAGCCAGATGATCCCAAAATCATGTGATTAATCCTCATAGCTTGAGGATAGATTAAAATATTTTATTCTATTATACCAAAGCAGATGCTGGCTGAAATGAATTAGTTTCCTGACAACAGGGATGGTGGAGGAATGAACCCAGCTAGGCCTGGACCACCCCCAGATTCAGGGGCCCACAGACTGCTTATGATTCCTTCTGTGGAGGTTCCTGCTACTCTGGGTGCTCACTGAGGTGTTAGGAGAAGAGGACAAGTCTCTTATCCTTCCCATAGGAGCACTGGAGAGACTCACGCTTTACATCTAGCTGCACCGTTTCCTGAGAGAGAAGCCCATCTGCACTATCTTTCCAGAGCTGACAGGTTAGTTTCTTGCCATGGTCGGTCCACTCTGGCTGAAATTTGAGCTGGTTCCAGGTAGAGACAGTCTTGGGGCTCAGGGAAATTGAGTGGACAGAGGAAAGATTATGTTGCATCCCCTCCAGGGACCACTGCAATTTGGTCTGGTACCCAGGGCAGGCAAAATCCAGTTGGCAGGTCAGGATGACTTCCTGGAGCTCCCGGATCTCTAGAGGGAGGTGAATTCGAGGTGGAGGAGCTGTCTCTGCAAAAGAGTAAGAACCATGCTGGTGGTTGGGGAGACTGAGGACTGCTGCATACTAGCTCCTTACACCTGGCTTTAGATGCCGTGCCCCAAAATAACTCCTCAGGAACCCCTTCCCAGTCTATCTACCTCTCTCCAAGTCTGCCCTCTGCTGTGAACCACTTTCACTCAGCTGAAGCACCCTCTCTGGAAGGTCAAGGGCTGAACCTCCTTAGGAATTACATTTCAGATTTTGTAGTTATTTTATTCTCACTGCCAAATGTTTGCTTTCTAAATGTTTTCAAGATTGCTCTTCCTGCCACCCCTAAGTGAATTTCACCAGTTTAGTTCAACATGCATTTCTTGGCTTTGATGATAAGCCTGCATTATTTAATGGCCTCACCCCAAACAGCATTGCTTTAGTGGGTTCCTTTAGTAGAGCAGGACTGTGGGCAGCCAATCCCAGCTGTCCCAGCACCAGGCCACCCTCAAACTGCATGGCCTGAAACTAAATCTCTCACCCGAAACATTAGGCTGCCTAGAACCACCCACCTACGAGAGGCTATGAAATGGAGTGAGCACATGCTCTGGGGTGTAGGCTCCAGAACTGTGTTTGATCCACGTCTTACATGTGTGTCATTTAGCCATGAAGAGCCACTTAGAATTACACACCAACATTAACACATTGCAAGATTTTACTTCAAAATCTAGAGTTTTATCTCCTTTTGAAAAATTGGGTAACCTAGAATCTAGATTACAGAATGGGCAGAAGCTGAGTGACAGGTGGGATACTTAAGAAGGAGCAAGTGCTTATGCTCCTATTTGGCCACAGCCCCATGTCTGTGCTGCCTGAGCCACCTGCTGGCGCCCCCTGCCTGACCTCTGCAGGCAATCTTGTCTGGGGCCACTGTCCCAGGAGTTGGTGTTTCCCGCTTCCCTCCTTGCCCCTGCAGAGGCAGAAGACCCCCATCCCCCATGGCCTTACTGGATATGTTGAGGACTATCTTGTCCATCCATTTGTCATTCCCCGATGTCACCCTCAGCCCCAGCTGACCGTTGTCTTGGGCATTTACAGGGTTGATGTGTAGGGTACAGTTGGATTTGTTGTCTCCCAGGAATTGTACCCTTCCCTGAGAGGAAGATGTTCCAAACTTTTTCTCTTCATAGAGGACTGTCCCATTGAAATTCTTGGTCTTGCTGTCCCACTCATAATTCTGATACACAGTCAGGTTATCCAGGACCTTTCCATTCCCTGGGATTGTGTAGAGGCAGGGAATCCAGATGCAGGCCCCGTCCCAGGCGTAGAGGGTTTCCGGGTGTTCAAACTTCCAGTCTTGTGAGTCAGAGAAAGCCAAGTATTCTGGAACCCACCACAGTTATCAGAAAGCATTATTGAAGGGCATAGAGATCTTTCAAAGGAGTAAAGAATCCCCTCTAAAGAGAGAGGGAGAGACACAAAGAGAGCAAGACACAAAGAGAAATGCATATATATACATGTGTCCACTGCCTGTCCCACCCTACCCTGCATTTACTCTTTTCTGCCCCAGATCTTTTCTCCTTCTTCAGCTCCACAGTCTCCCCAGAACCCAAATACCACCCCAGCCCATAGTCCTTACCGAGAAGCAGGAGCAAGGGGCTGAGGAGATGCATGGTGTTGTGTCTAGGCGAGGGCCTGAGGCAGAAAGAGTGTGTCTGTGAGGCATCTGATCTCTTACTTCCTTCAGACAGCTTTTCTTCTTCATCTACTGAGCTCTGACCCTTTGTCCCTGATCCCTGGAAGCCCATGTCCAACAGTTGTATGGTAAGATGTGGGCTTCTGGAAACACACAGGGCCTTCTCTGCTTATGCTGTGCTTCTCCCACCAGCCTGAGAACCCTGTTGGGCTTGTCCCTCTCTCTCTTCCCAGTACTCGTTCCTTTTTTCCATCTACCCATCCATCCATGATTGTATAAACTTCCTAACCAGCTCTCGGGCTTTGAATAGCACCAGGTGACTCAGCACCGAAAGTGCCAGATCCTGGGAATCTTGGAGATCCCCTTGGGGCAACTAGTATAAAGGGGTTTACATAGGCGAGACACATGCCCAAAACTTGATTTTAAAGACCAGAAAAAAACAACTTTAAAACCAGTAATTAAATATGATATTAGGAGAGCACTTAAAGGGGTCTGAAGGGACTTAGGATAATATGGCCCCTCTCAGTTGTCTCCAGGGGATGGGTAGGAAACATAAATCAACCAGGTGGGGACAAAATCGTGGGTCACGCCTTGCATGATGATTATCACAGCCTAGGGGATGACTCTCTCAGGTCTAGCTAATTGTTGCCAAGTGGGAATGTAGGCTCATTACTGCCTGATCTTCCACTGTTTTAAGAGAAGTAAGAGGCCAGATTGCCACGTGAAATGTCCTGCTTTAAAAACAACAAACAGCCCTGGCTGGTATAGCTCAGTAGATTGAGCATGGGCTGCGAACCGAAGCATCACTGGTTCAATTCCAAGTCAGGGCACATACCTGGGTTGCGGGCCAGGTCCCCAGTGGGGGCCATGGGAGAGGCAACCACAAACTGATGTTTCTCTCCCTTTCTTTCTCCCTCCTTTCCTCCCTCTCTAAAAATAAATAAATAAAATCTTTAACAAACAAACAAGCATGCTGTTGGTCAAACGAAACCTGTCTGTGGACAGGACTAGAGAAAGTCCAAGGGCTGCCATGTGCTACTACTGCTCCCTCTCTCCCTCTCTCTCTCCCTCCCCCTCTGCAGTGAACTGACCTGCCACCTTACTATACTTTTACAAAGTTATATTTACATAAAGTTAAATTTAAGTCCCAATTTGCATGGCTATGCCCTCAGTGTCAGTCCCCAGGGAGCAAGGCAGGATGTGCCCACAGAGTGTGTCTCCGTTCTCAGCACAGGTCCTGCCCCTCCTATTTACCCAGCCAACATTTCCCACACATTGACTCCCCCACCCAGCCACTGGCTGTGTGGCTTCTGCCAAAGGCTGTTGGGTATCCAGTACCTGGTATGGGGAAAGCTAAGCTGCTTGCTGAAAGCAGGAAGGAGTCTGTCCCCAGGCTTAGTGGCTGTGCAGGCCTGGCCCAGGCAGGGGTAGTGATATGGAGTTGGAAGTGGGGAAGCCTCTCCAGGCAGAGCTGACATCAGCTCTGTAAGTGCTAACAGTGTTACACACAAAAAAGTCAAGGTCAGATCCGTTTGAGAGAAGCTAATTTTTTTTTAAGTAAAATAGGACTCTTTACTGCAAGTCTTTCAAAACCTTTAATCACAGTGTGTGTGTGTGTGTGTGTGTGTGTGTGTGTGTGTGTGTGTGTGTGTGTGTGATACATCACCCAGCATGGTTGTTAGAGCACACTTCTTTAGCCACACTTCTTTACTTTGTTCTCCATGAAAATGTTGATGGGCTTGCAGGGTCAGTGTTTTGAGAGATGCACTTTGGATATCTTTTGAGTTTCTACAAGATTTGTGGCAAGGGCCAAATTCCATGCCCTGAAGCAAAGACTAGCTTCCCATTGCTGGGCCGCTGTGCCCTCAGCTGCCAGCAGCCACCAGCCATGCCCTCATTGAGAACTGGCTTTCCAGGATGAGTGGCAGAGGGGCTTTGTGCTTACCTGAAGGAGCTCCAGAAAGTTTCTGGGGCAAAAGAAGTGGACTCCAGGCCTGGAACTGAAAGGCTGCTGAGGTTTAGTAGAACTTGGAGGCTAGGGGCGGTAGGCAGTAGGCAAAGACTAAGGCCAAGGCCACACGGTTTAGGACTTCAGAGCTAGCCTCCCCAAGTTTGTGCTTTCCTTTTGAGCATCGAGTGACCCATTTTATTCTCAGAAGACTCACCAAGCCCAACCAAGAGATGTTCAAACACAGGGCTCTACAACCTGCTATAACACACCAAGAGAGTGTGGGGGTCCTCACTATACTAGCAACCCCAAGAATTGTGCCTGACACACAATAGCTGCTCCATACTTGCTTGCTGAATGCAAAAGAGAACAAAATAGTTTTTTACCTGTTTCCTGGTGTCTTCGCTCTTCAGAGATCCTGGCAGCATCTGAGAGTAAAAGGGGAAGCACAGCAAAGTTTCTGGTGACTGATTTTCACCCTCTTTGGCCACACCTCCTACCTTTCTGTGGCTCTGAGGGTGACTAAGAGGCATGATGAATTGGGGAGTGGAGAAATGAGGCAATGAAGGAAATATGGGCAGGAGTCAGATTGGATGAAACACTCATCTATGGTCAATTTTTTGTTTTAGTGCAAGAAGTTTCTTCATCAGTTGAGTTTCAGAGCAGGATCCTCTACAACTTCCCCTCTATCTAGACCTTAGGAAGTGCTAATGACTCAGTCCAAGCAAATGAGAACTGCCAGCCTGCTGAAAAAGGCACAAGTCAACTTGAAAGTATTTGTCGTTTAGTGTCACCATCCAATTATTCTCATTCCTGTTACGTTCCCTCCATAGTCTTGAAAAGTAGGACTCTGACCACTGACACTGATGTTTCAGCAGCCCCCAAGGGTTGAGAAAGCACACAGATATCAGAAAGGAAGAAGATAAGTTATGTGAAGTGTTATTGAATGCACAAGTCTTGAAACCAAAACCTCACCACTTTTCTCAGGTGTCTAGTCTGTGTTGAGATCAGAACTAGATCAACAAAATAAGCAAGCAAGCAAAATATAACCACAGACATTGAAATTAAAGACAAACTGACAGTAATCAGAGGGGAGGTAGAAGGGAATAATGAGGGGAAAAGGGGGAATGGTTTTCAGGAACATGTATAATGGACACACGATAAAAACCAAAGGGGGGTAGGATCAAGGGTGGGAAGTGGGGATGGCTGGGGGGGAAGTGGTGGGGGGAAAATGGAGACAACTGTACTTAAACAGCAATAAAAAATGTGAAAAAAAGGAACTAGACAATAGGCAAAGCAAATCCTACAGATGATATGGGAAGCTTCTGAGAAATCTTCACTCTGACACTACTACACTCTACTGACTGCCAGGCATTAAGAAGGAAATAGAAGGAGCGAAGGACAAGTTCTTCAAAAAGCAGTGATGTTCTGGGAGGTTCTAGGTACTTTTGCTGTAGCATCCTTGCTGCAAGGATTTTTGCTACAAATGTTTCTGCCACACAACTAATTGGCCATAAGGCAATTTTGCCATAAAATTATAAAAAATAAAAAAGAAATGTTAAAAATGAAATTAAATATAAAATTTAAAAGGCTTTACAGGGAAATAGAAAATATTTGAATACATTTAAAATGTGTGTAAATTCCTAGCAACATTGTGCAAATAACTGACTTTATTTTGTACCTAAGCACTTGTCTTTGTTCTGTGGGAAATGTGGGTTCAACTCTGCACTCACAAAGAGGGCCTTTGGCCTCTTATTTTCCCCCAAATATAGTATGTGTTCAAAAAAGGAAACCAACTTTTGGGGAAAATCATCACCTGAAAGAAATGCTAGCTATTTTAACACCAGCACCATGTCTACTTATCACTGTACAGACCAATGTGAGGATGGCAAAGACTTATTTATAACACAAAAATGTCAGTAACTGCAAACACTTTGTCAATGAAGAAATGAAACCAAACAAACAAAAACACCAAACATTTTTTACAGTGGTTGAATGATTAGTAAATAAAGAAATGAAACCAAAAATACTAACAAAAAAACAAACTGTCAATCAGTTACTTTATCTTTTTATGGCAAAATGGCCTTATGGTCAACTAGTTATGCAGCAAAATGTCTGCACCAAAGATGGTATGGCAAAAATACTGGACACAGTTCTGAGAAGATGGAGTGGATGTATTTTCCCTTATTTATTCTTCTAAATACTACTAAAAACCCTGGAGATTACAAAACAAGCATAAGGAGACTCTGAAATGTGGAAAGAAAACACACTGGTTAGGGACCTCAGGACCTGAGGAATGGTATGGCAATAAATTCCACAGGTTTCCTCTTTGCTTCATATATCCCAGGCTGAATTGTGGAGAAACCAGCAACTGGAAATACCAATAGGCCCAGATGAAAAAAATTCCAGCAAACTTCTGCTCTTCTAGCCCACGAACCAGGAAAGGGGCAGTCTAGGTAGAAATCCTTCAGGCAATAACTGCCCTACTCTAGAAAAACCTGAAGCCTCACCCCTATGCACTGACAGCAAAGACTGAGTGAGGAGCCTAGACTTCTTTAACAAAGCTCCTCAGGCCACTCCCTGATATTCCATCTAAATGATGCCAGAGGAGGCTGAGTCTGGAGCTGGGCCCTCCATTCCTCTGGACTCTTCCTCTCCACAGTGCCAGTGGAGACCACACAGGTAGCCTGAACATTCACCCCAACCCAGTGGTAATGACACATTTCTCCCTTCCTCCCCGAGAGGTGGTGTAAGAGAAGACTAATGGACAGTCGGGACATCTACCATCACTAAGTGGTAACAAGACCACCTCCTGTAGTGGAATCTGTGTGGAAGACATGTGAACAGCTGTAATAAAGTATCCCTCCCCTTTCCCAACTAGAGTGGTAATAGTGGGTGTCTAATGGGGAACATGAACCCCCACCCCTTCAATCTTTGCCATACTATTGAACTTTCCAACAATAACAAGGGACCTTCACTTCCCAGGTGTCAAAGGAGGCTGAATGCAGAATCTGAACTCCTGCCCCCACACGCAATAGTGAGGCAGTACCCACTTCATTTCGGTGGAGCAGTGTCAGGGTGGCTTGCTCTAACACAGATTTAAGGAAGATCCAGTCCTATGACATGAGGCCCCAAATTCTAGGTTTCCATTGAAAAATCCCTTGTCATACTAAGAACTGGAAAGTTCTCAAACTGAATTAAAAAAGATAACCAACAGACACAAATGCTAAAATGACACAGATGTGAAAATTATCTGACAAAGATTTTTAAACAGCCATCATAAAAGTGATTTCATGAGCAATTACAAACATGCTTGAAACAAATGAAAAAATAGAAGGTCTCAGCAAAGAAATAGAAAATATAAAGAGAACCAAAACCATTTTAGAACTAAAAAATACGTTAACTGAAATAAAAACCTTAATGGCTGAGCTCAATAGCAGAATGGAGAGTACAGAAGAAAGAATCAGTGAAGTGGAAATATAATAATAAAAATTACCCAATTTGAACAAAAAAGAAAAAAGAGACTGAAAAGAAAAAAGAACATTTGTGACTATAAGATCTAACATTCACGTCACTGGAATCCCATAAGGAGAGGAGAAACAGAGTGGAGTTGAGAAAGTATTCAAAGAAATAATGGCTATAAATTGTTCATAACTTGACAAAACAAAAAACATGTATCTAAAAATTCAAGAAGCTGAGCAAAGCTAAAATAATATAATCCCAAAGAAATCCATGCCAAGACACATAATAGACAATGAAACTTGAAAACAAACACAAAGAAATGACACATCACCTATAGAGAACAAATTAAAATGACAGTAGTTTTCACATCAAAGCCATATAGGCCACAAGGAAAGGAAACAACATTTTTTGGATGCTGAAAGAAATGAACTATAAGCCCAGAAACCTATATTTAGTGAAAATACTTTTCAGGAAGGAGGGCAAATCAAGACATTCTCAGATAAAGGATAACTAACAGAATTGTTAACCAACAGAGACCTGTTCTTTAAAAATGACTAAGAGGAATTCTGTAAACAGAAAGAAAATGATTTTTTTAAAGAATCTTGAAACATTAGGAAGGAAGCAAGAACATAGAAAGAACAAACCTATGGGTAAATACAAAAGAATTTTCTTCTTGAGTTTTCTAAATGATCTTCGATGGTCAAAGCAAAATCTATGTAAACTGTGTAATGCTGTTCTCAGTGTATGTAGAACAAATATTTGAGACAATTATATTAGAAGTAAGAAGGATAAAGGTATGCGAATGGAGGAAAGGTTTCTAACACTTCACTTGAAATAGTAAATGTTGAAACCAGTAGACTGATAAGTTATATATAATGTAATAGTTAGAGCAACCACTAAAAAACTATACAATGTGACATACTAAAAAACATAATAGATGAATGAAAAACTGGAAGTTTAAGAATTGTTCAAGGAACCCAGAGGAAAGTAGGAAAAAAGTAAACAGAGCAATTAAAAACAGAGCGAATAAAGAGAAAATAAAAAGTAAAGTGGCAGACTTAAGCCTTAGCATTAAGTAATCACATTAAATGTAAATGATCCAAATACATAAATGAAAAGATAGAAATTGACAGAATAGATGAAAAAACATGACCCAAATATATGCTGTCTGTAAGAAAATAACTATAAATTTCATTATATAGGTAAGATGAAAATAGGATAATGTACAAAGGTATATAATGCAAACATTAGTCAAAAGAACTAAGAGTGGTTATATTGATAACTGATAAAGCAAACTGCAGAACAAGAAAAATTACCAAAGCCAGAGAAGGATATTACATAATAAGGAAAGAGTCAATCCACCAAGAAGACACAGAAATTCTAAATGTGTATGCACCAAACAATAGGATTGCAAAATATGTGAATAAATACCAATAGGAATGAATGGAGAACCAAACAAGCTCACAATTATAGTTGAAAATTTTAACACTCCTCCCTCAACAATTATTAGACCAACTAGACAGAAAATCAACAAGGATACATAAGAACTCAACAACACCATCAATCAACAGGATCAACTGACATTTGATATGTAACCATGGAACATATACCAAGGTAAACCAAATTTAGGGTGATAAAACCAGCCCCAAAAAGTCTGAAATAACTTAAGTCATACTGAGTCTATTTTTTGACCACAATGAAATTAAATAAAAAATCAATAACAGAAAAATAACAGGAAACCCCCAAGCACTTGGAAACTAAACAACACACTTCTTAATAATTTATGAGTCAGAGAGGGATTCTCAAGGAAAATAAAAATGCACCAAACTAAAAGAAACTGAAAATGGAACTTATAAATTTTGTGGGACAGGCCAAAGCACTTGAGGAAAATGTATAATGGTAAATGCTTACAGTCAAAGAAGAAAAGTCTCTAATTGATAATATAAGATTCCATCTCCAGAAACTAGAAAAATAAGAGGAAAATAATCAAAGCAAGCATAAGAAAGGAAATCATAAATATAAAAGCAGGAATCAATGAAGTTTAAAACAAAAATAGAGAAAACAGAATATCTTGTCCACTGAAAAGGTCAACAAAATTGACCAA